TACTTTTTAGGGTACCATTGATCGCGTGTTCTCCACTTAGCACAATTTCGTTGTTTACTCGAAGTTTTGAGCTTCATTTTGCGTAATAATTAGAGGCATTTAAAATTGTTCAAAATAAAGCAAAATAGCTCATCATGTAAGGTTTTTAGCTGAAGGTCGGGTAGCAGCTTAATTGTGAGTGGCAAAAAAGAATTATAGGTGGTTTATTATGCTTGGTTTATCTTGTAAACACAAACATACGAAGAAATTTACACATGGAGAGGTCATACATTCCTACGACATTGGAACTTAGGCGCTAACACAAAAACGTACCTGATTGTCCACGAGTGTGCTGGGGACATGCACGATTTTTATATTTTCTCAGGAACTCGATTCATTTCCTTTCCAATAAAACCGATTTATACATTATTTAGGCGGCGGAAGGGGAGGGTACGAGCAAGTTTACTAGTATAAGTCGACATGCTTTAAAGGACGCACATGCTTTGATCAGAGCCTAGGTCGAAACCCCTTACCAATGGAATTCAAAGGAACCTGTCATAAAAGTAGCCATTTTGTTTTAAAATAACACATACACATATGCCTATCTAATACGAATTCATCTTAATTCCACTACACAAAATCGTGAGAAAACAATACTGACAGAAACGACCAAAAACTTTTTTAAATCTATTAACGTATTCAGAATTTTAAATTAGACGAATGAGCATAACACTACATTACATGACCATCACAGTTCATTTCAGTTGGTTTTGCATCCTATTTTAAGAAGATACTGGGCTATAAAAAAAACAGAGAATCCTGACGCGTTTAAACAGTTCGTAATCCAACGAAAATACTAGGATTCGAGGCAGATCGTATTAATCGTGAAATATTATTTCACAGCCAGGGTGAGAAAAAATAAAGGCTGCACAAATGAATCTTTGAACTGCGAATTTTGAAGTGGGCGCTTTTGAATAGATACGAGCATTTTACATTTCGCATTTGACATTTAGAATGGGAATTTTTTGTAATTAATAGAAACATTATTCATGGGCAAAATAGATTATTTACCGGTTGAGTAACTGGGACAGTTTAATGGAACCAAACCAGATTATGTTTACTACCTAAGAGACATAGACAAACGTAATTAAGTAAAATGTAAAATATTAGGAGAATTGTGAATAAGGCCATAAATTAACAAAACGTTATTCAAAAACACTAATAATTTGCCGAAAAAAGAGCAATTAGTTCACACAGACCATAAACAAAACAATTAATTATTATTTGAATCGAACTTTGGAAAAGCGAATAATTTTAATCACCTTCCCACATCAACTTTAGATGGAAGTCCTTCTGTCTAAAATCTATTTAAAAAAAATTAAAGAGAAAGTGAATGGCTTCATTCTTTAAAAAACGACTTGGTAAAGGTGGGTCAAATATTATTTACTAGCTTTTAAGCTCTCATCAGTTTCATCTTAATTTTCACGCAATATTGCAATGTAATTTGATAGACCACCAAACATAGTACTGAATGATAGCAGGATTCGTCACCTAATAATTAAAACAAGCACTGATTAAAAATTCGAATAAACGCTGTGAGCAATTTTACTGTTAGTTTATAAATACGTTTCACCCATATGCTTGTAAAAACACGTGTGCTAGTAAAACGTAGAGCTTTTAGTTGTAATACGAGACAACTCAGACTTTGACACGTAAAAGGGTCCAAACATTTACTCAAGATAACCTGACCCAGTTTTGACAATTTGGTTTAGTACGCTAAACGTGTAATACTTTATGGACAACAATAACCTATCTACTCTTATACACAAGTTACCAAAAAATCGTACCCAATTGTAGGAACTCATGATGTTCGATAACTGGAATAAATTTCCTAAGAGCGTCGACATCAAAAAAAGTTGACCACGGGTACGCAGAGACTCCATCCCAATGAAAAGCTTGACTCCAAGGTGGCAAAACTAGAATCCAATTGTAATTTCTGAATGCTGCACGATGTAATGCATTCAGTGGATATTGAGAAGGATCCCGTAATACTCTAAAACGGATGGAATTAAAATAATGGAGCAAAGAGAACCTTCAAACTAACGTCTCTGAAGAAATTAAAATGAGATCCACATCAAAAGAGTGATTCTGTAAAATTACTGAAAAAAGCCAAAGATAATTTTAGAAAAAATTAAATAACATTACAGAATAAAGTACACATATGGTAAGGTCCTGGCAATAAATAGGCCCAGCTTGGCACTGATTTACGCGCAAGGCAAGTGTGAAATTTGTGAACCTATAAGCAGTTGCAAAATCCTTCACAGTAAATCACTTTTTCACTATTTTAGAAATAAAACGACGGTACGATTTTCAACAAACTTAACGCATTGTCTCTGGTAAAACTGTTACTAAATTTAAAAGCCACCAGCCACCACATTTAATCTACTTAATGAACATTATAAAAGTGTAAAAAAATGAGCCACTGCACACTTAACAATAGTGTAACAAGAACGGACTGCATAAATGGCAACATTCAAACATACCGAACCAAATTAGCAATTCGAATGTATACGTCCCGCCTCAAATTAAAACCCTCGTGCTTGTTAACACCGTAAAACAGGTACTTTGTATTCAATGACAGGCAGTATGTAGGGTAAGAATTCCACACCGAGAACTCAAAAAGAGTCAATACGATAACACATAACCGCATTTTTAGATTGCGAGGGAATTAGTGTTTTGTTACATTATTTAGACCTTGGACATCCACCACAAACTGTTACATGTGATTAAAATCAACGCCCATCTTTAAAATTCCCACTAGCATTCAGATCCTTTATTTAAAAAATTGATGCATAATGAATGGCTTTTAATAAGACCACAATCTCTAAGGTCTTTTTTCCTGTCATTATAGGATCTCAAAATTGAAAACAGGCTGTGCATTCCCATGACCAGTTGTTTCAAAAACTTGTTGCAATTTTCAACAGACGCCCTAGCATGATATCTTTTAGACTTGTATATCCATTTAACAAAATTAAGTCACAATGTTGAAGGAAAAAACCATGATCTGAGCTAATTTAATTTTCTATATTTAATAATTCTTCTACTGCTTAGACAATGCTAAATTTGGGCACATTTAAAAGTGAAAACTTAAGTGCCCGAACACTTTTTACAATTCACAAATTTGGTTAAACTTGAGCTAGGTCCTAAACATATAAAAATAACTTAAAATCTGGACTTTTACAAACCAAGAAAAGTTCAAAAATTTTCGCCAAAATCTATTATTTAATAAATAACGAAATTCAATTTCCTTAAATGATCATATGTATAGTTCCTAGTTTATTTTTATAATGAATCCTATAGGAATTTCAAAAGATGGGACGGGTTTTTTGAACAAGTCACTCTTCAAGTCGCATAAAGAAACCATTCAAGCATAGCTCATCTTGCAGTAAATTTGAAATCTATTAGGCTGGTCTCAAGCAAAACTGTACAGTAAAATTATCGTTGCTTTACAGAAGTTAATTGAAAACTATATCGATAAACATAAAAATTCGAAATATGTATTGATTAGGGTACAACTGAATGAGAGAATTTATCCATGTACAAGTCTGAATGAAATTTGATTCTCCAAATTTCTTCTTCTCAAAGTGAACACAGAAATACTTATGTCAAATATATTTGCAGCCAAAAGTGTTTAGTTAAAAATAATTTGTTAATTCTATAGAGAATCGCGTCGACTTAAGTCCAGTATCCAGGTCATTGCAGCCTCAAACACGTCCCCCTTTTCACGTGTATCCCCCAGTCACTGGAGCCGATTGCTTATTTAAGCCTCGGTGTGTACCACACCAACCAGCTCAATCTATGTGATCATTCGGAAATCTGACTTATACTGGTCCATGCAATTATATTAGTCACCGAAATACATATGTCAAACACTGTATGTAATACACAGAATCAACAATAAACTTGGGTAAGACATAAAGGAAACGGTAGTATCTTATCTTCTCTTTTCTTCCTGATCTTTGCTGACACTTACTTTAGCGTATTCAGGTTAGTTTCAACGCAGTGGCCATAGCGTTGCTGACGACAAAATGTTGGGGGCGTCAATAGCACCTGTCCCTTAAACTAACAGCTTAAGTGTTAATGTTAAGCTCGTTTTTAAAGTAAAAACGGCTGTACATGTAAACTACCAATTGCTCTTTCTTCAGACTTTGACCGTCTACTTAAAAATAAAACTTTATGATGCCTCCTTGGCAAAACATCTTAGTAACTTGCATATGCTGGTTCCAACTGACTAATAAATGACCCACACAAATTAAACTACCGGCATGGCTTTAGCGGTGTCACAGCCGATGAAGGAAAC